ATATTTCCAAGTACTTAGCTTGTCCACAGTAGGCATGCAAAGCTCAGTGCCCTAGACTCTGCATGCTATGGTACTGACCTACCAGGGGAGATATGCCTAATGGTGCAATAGTGGCATGCCTGTTATAGGATAACTGACCACTTTATGATTGAATTTGAACACTGCACCATAGGAAGGGATTTTATGCCTGATACTGTAATCCTAGTCTGGGGAGGTCATAGGTCCTTGGATAGAAACTGCTATTTTTATTTGGCTAAATGATTTTATTCTAAATATTAGTGTTTATACTTACAGATCAGGGCTGCTCTCCGACTTGGTCAGAGGGCCTTCTTTTTGCAGTGGTCAATAGAGAGACTCATAACTGGTCCAAGTTCTAGGAAGAGACTGAGTGTTCAGCCTTAAAGCTAAATGATGTAATTCTCCACTACCACCCCCAGTTAGGCCCAAGGGCCATCTTAGAAGAGGAGATTGAAAGAATGCAGGAGTTGGAGGATGGAGTGGAGTGCTGAGAAATACCATTTTCTGTACACAAGGCAATTTGTACTCATGAACAAGATCAAGCCACCAAAATCCCCACATAGATGGGAGAGATGGTCCCCAGGCTCTACTCCTTACTGAGATGCTGGTGATGCTGTTGGTAGTTGATAGCTCCCTGAGAGAATCACTCTTCTTTGAGGGTGTGGCCTCTGGGTAGATTTCTTTTGGTTTGGTAGATGGCCCTCATGCACATATGGACAGCACTAATTGGATTTATCAGGTTAATAAAAAAGAACATTCCAAATTAGGAGGGGAGGTATTGGGGGAAAATATCGGACAAGTTTGGGGAAAATATGGAACAAGTTGGAGGGGGCAAATGGGAGTGTATGGGATTATAGTTTATTGTATTCGTGTATGAACTTCTCAAAGAAAAAATGAAAAAGCCTGGTGCAGTAGTACAGGTCTATATTCCCAGCACTTGGGAGGCAGAAGCAGGAGAATCTCTGATCTCAAGGCACTCTAGCCTACATAGTTAGTTTCAGGCTAGCCAGAGTGAGATCTTGTTGCAAGAAAATTAAAAAAATATATATTGCTTATTGTAGCGGATTCTGAATTTGGGTACTTGGGTTCCAGGTAGTTTACTTGTGCTGATGATATATAGATTCCAGTCTTAGTTCTTCCAATTAATTAATTAATGGCACTCTATCTGTCTGTCCTGTTCATTCTTTTAAAAAATGAGAGTAGGGTATTTCTTCTAATGTTTGGAATGGCTTTGGAGACAGATAGACCTTAACTGGCATCTGAGCCTTCATTTTGTGTTTGGTTTGTTTGTTTTTGAGGCAGTGCCCTGTATCACTTACTATGTAGGGTAGGATAATGTTGAACTTCTGATTCTCCTGTCTTCAAATCCCTTAATGCTGGGATTACAAGTATATGTGATCTTGAGTTTTCGCTTGGTGATGATAAAATTTGAGGCAATACTGATAACTAACTGAAATATAGGCTTTCCTGTATTGGATTAAATTGACAGCTGCACCTGGTGATGGTGGCACACAGGTTTAATCCCAGCTCTCCAGAGGCCAAGGCAGAGGGATCTCTGAGAGTTTGAAGCCTGTCTGGTCTAAAGAATGAATTCCGGGACAGGCTCCAAAGCCACAGAGAAACCCTGTCTTGAAAAACCAAAGTAAGTAAGTGAATAAATATTTGGTTGCTGCAAGCATCACTATGTTTGATCACTATTCCTATTGCTACTACAGTGTGAGATCGGAAACGCTATGTAACCTTTCTGTGCCTCTGTAGTTTTACAAGTGAAAATGGATAAATGATACATGCCTCAGGGGTACTTGAGAGCATTAAATGCAATGGAGAAAGTCTAGGAGTTAGAACAATGCCTGGCCTATAGGAGGCTTAAATATGTCTGATATTATTAGTGTTACATTTCTACTATTACACCGTGGGCAAGACGTTCAGGATAAGCAGTTTGTTTTAAAGACAAAAGCCAAACCAAGATAGGCAATCTGCAAACAATGAAACCGAGTGGAGCATTGCTTTTTCCGAATGCAACTGACACGCCCAGCACTTGGGTTGGATCCGCCCAGACCTCATTAAATATGGCTGCAAGCATGGCTCCCTTATTGCGGTTGCGCATGTTGAAACTCCTCCCAGCATCTGCCTCTTGGCCGCGGTTTTCCCCGGGCTGGGCCGAAGAACCTAGAGAGGGGCCTTCGTGGCGCGCATGCGCACACACCATCTGGGCAGAGCTGCTACTCCGAGGCGCCTGTCACATGAGCCGCGCTCCCGCTCCGCTCCCCCTCCTCCCGGCTGGGCTGTGTGAATGAAGCTCTGCCGGCTACGTGGGGCGCTCGCTCTACTCGCTGTGTGCAACGCCAGAGCCGATCGAGCGTGCTGCCCACCGCCGGTGGCCACGGGCTCCGCCGCGCCGGACCTCGGTGACAGGTAAAGGCAAATGGGCTTCCCTTTCCCAACAGGTCCTTCCCCCGGCCGCCGGCCGCCAGCCCACCCCCATGTTCCCCCTGCTACAAGGAGCCAGCCAGAGCGCTCGCCTGCCACCACGGTCTCCGGAGCTGGCGTCCCCTGTCTGGCTGCCACTGAAGGAGGTGGACAGGCTGGTTCCAGCCAGTGTGGGACGGCATCTCCCCGGGAGCCCAACCCTGTTCTGTTCTCCAAGCAGGGTCGCCAGGCTGCCCGCAAGTTTCCTTGCCAAACGGCGCCAAGCCCGCCCAGCTTTGAAATCTGGGAGCTCGGCTGCCCGCGTCGCCTCTCCAGAGGACAGGGTTGGGGCGGCGTTCGCTGGGAAAGCGTGCAGCCGAGGCCGGGTTGTGCGCGCTCCTGCTTTGGATCCGCCACGGGTTTCGCGTGGGTCTTAGTGCAGTCCAGTCCAGACCGTCTGGGCAGAGAAGTTGGTGTGCATTTTCCTTCTTGCCGCCCAATGCGCATAGCTGCTGCTTCCCAGACATTGGAGCTCTGCGCTTCAGTGCCTTTCCCAGTAATGGAAAGAAAGCTTTAGTTTAACTTTGACGCACTTTTTTACCTTTATGAACGTTTCAGAACAGATCTGTTGCCTGGAATTGGACTTGAGTCCGTGTGATAATGTCAGTGGAAACTGGACCAAGTAAATGAGGGAAACCCCTAAGTTGAAGCATTAAAAACCAGCGAGAGGCCACTTTACACATACTCCATAAACGTATTAGTGATTTTTCTCGGGTTGAATTTCAGAGCTATTCAATTTCTCCTTGTCCCACAATGCGCTGATCAGTACTTAACTGTAAGCAAAATAGGAGAAGGGGAGAAAAGCCAAACTTAATAAACTGTGCCATGTTCCAGATAAGTCATTGGAACACTTTTTCCTGGTGAATTCATCCTTGGAGTCAAAGTTTCTTAAGCTCTCTTTTTCTTGGACTACAGGAGCCTTTCCTCATCCAAACCCGGTCTTTGTTGGCGTTTTGAGGACTGGCGTACACATGAACCTTTTTGTTCTTTACAGAAAAAGAGGTCAGTAAAGAGGGCCAACATGATTCTCAAAGTAGTATTAGTCTTCAGCGTTTGGGCTTTAGTTTTCCACCAGAGTTGCATAGGTTGGTTATGTAAAAGCGTTGGAAATAGAAATTCACCTTCGTGTTCACCAGGCCTAAAAGGTGAGGGTTTTTTTTTTTTTTTTTGTTGTTGTTGATTTTTGTTTTTTTTTTTTAAGATGCAGATTAGCTTTTATGCCCAAGGGAAAATAAATCATTAAAAAATTGTTTAAATGGACAAAGTTTAATATATTAAACTTCGAAACCAAACTAAAACCAGCAATCACACCCTTTACTTTTTCCTTCGATCCCTAGCCCCTTTCATATACTTGGAAACAGTACTGTTTTAAGACTGAATTTGAAGATTAAAAATTTAGTACTGTGTGTGTGTGGAGAGGGTGGGTGGTGCAGCTTTATGTAGTTAGTTCTTTCCATCATTTTCTTGGGTTCCAGGGATTGGACTCAGGCTTAGGTGGCAAGTTTTTTGTTGTTGTTATTGTTTTGTTTTTTGTTTTTGTTTCTAATGTGGTGGGCCTTCTCATCAGCCCCAAATTTAAACATTTAACACTGAGAGGTAGCTAAATTAATTTGATTGTACTTAAATCAATATCCTAGTTTTATATTTTTCTTTGTCCTTGATTCATTCCCTCATTATACAGACAGTATAATGTGTTCACTGTAGAAAATTTGCAAAGTGAGGAAAGTACAAAATAAAGAGGAGAGGAACACCCACATCCCAAAGGGTATTGGTGTTTTTTACTTTTTTGTTATGTTCCTTTTCTTTTTTTTTTTCCTATGCCAGATATATTTTAGAAATTTATTTGCAGAATTTGCCCTCTTTTCTATTGATTTCTTCATGTAACACTGAATACTTTAGGGACAGAGGAAGAATTCATTCACCAGAGTGTGGAGCTTTAAGATAGGAAACACACAATGGTTATCTCAACCAACCACTACCCATCCCTTGATGAGTGTCCAAGCCCATTTACTGAAGCCCCAGTGATTCAGACAGAATCCTAGAGCAGGGAGTGACAATATGAACTGATGTTGGAGCTCCGCTCTTTTGCCAGCAATACCCCGCTGCTTCGGAGGGGGAAGCTTAACACTGTTTGTGGATGCTGTCTTTGAAAGAGAGGTTTGGAGAGGGGCAGGAGGTCATCTTCAAGAATTTGAAATTCTTTGTTTTCAGATTTTCATTTTTCTGTTTACATTTTCAGGTTTGGGGCCTTAGAATCTTGCAGAAAGCAGAACTACACAGTTGCATTTCCATCTAGACCATCTTTAAGTCCCCCTTCAAAACTGGGGGCTCTGAGCCTGTGACCCCAGCGTGGGAGAAGATAGGTACAAGATGGCCATGTGGCAGGGTAAGAAATTAGCACTTATTCCTCTAACTGGTTTTTCCTCCCGCTGTCTTCCACCCCCACCCAACCCCCAGAGCCAGTGGCTGGCAGCCAGCTGTTTCTTTAATTTAACCCTTTCTTTGCAAGGACCATGCACATTCATTTAAGAGAAGCTGTTGTCAGCTAGAAGTTCAAATGATTTTCAAGTGGATGAGAGTGGGGAATTAGATGTTATGCCAGAAGCATTTAAAAGACCTTCCTTCACTTAAACATGTATTCCTGGGGATTAGGTGTGAGGAGATGGGTTTTTTCCCCTATTTGTGGTTTACATTTGTTTCTAGCAAATTTGTATTGTAAGATTCTCTCTTGTAAGGAGGGGAGACACACTTTGCTGCCTCTCAAGCTTCCTGTACTCAATGAAGACTTTCTTGGGGTCTTGGCAGTTGAAAAGACCCATTGAATGTTATGTTTATATTTTGGTGCTAGAAAGAAAATGCTCATTTTAATATTATCAAGCTGAGAATCAAGCTCAACAATGTTTGGGATGGTAAATTACATCTCTTTTTGTGAGTTTCTGTCACATGCAAAGTTATTATTTTTATTGTGGTTGGGCATTGCTCTCCAGGATGCTATCAGAATTTTCATCGGAATCTTATGATCACCACAGAAGAAATGTGTTTTTAAGAAACGATTGACAAAAACTATTGAACTGTATCTGTGACCCACAAAAGGTTCAGGGCCACTTACATGGAATAGAGTAAAATAGCTTCAATATTTATGAATATTCAAAAGCTAAATTTGTTTGTTTATTGAATTTAAAAAATGTTCTATTGTGTTTATGATTTAAAGCATGTACACGCACAAATGTAACAAACAGTTTTGATATACACAGATTGTCAGTTTAAAGACATTTTTGAAGTGGGATTTGGCTTGTATGCTGGCTTTGATGGGTATTTATCACAGTTTAGTGCCAATGAGATGGCTCAGTGAGTATAGATGCTTGCCACCAAGCTGGACAACTTGAGTTCTATCCCTGAGATCTACATGTTGGAAGGAGAGAACATACTCTCATAAATTGTCCTCTGACCTCCGTGTGTGTGTGTGTGTGTGTGTGTGTGAGTGTGTGAGTGTGTGCCCGTGCACACGTGTGCATGGGCGCGCAATTAAATCCTGACAAATTCTTTTCATTCAACAAGCAGAATAGAGATGGGAGTAAAGCACAGAAGCTTGGAGGGTTCCTCATGATCTGGAGGACAGACTTAGGAATAAACTGTGTTGCATTAAGTAAGTATTACCATAGGGAGAGGTGTAAAATGAGATGCAAGCCTAGAGAAAAAACATGGGGAACTTGAGGGTTTGAGCTGCTCTAAAAATGAGTAGGAGTTGGCCATATGGATACATGAGAGAATTGCATTCTAGCCAGACAGAGCAGCACTGTTCAGGAACTTCCAGCTTGCTTTGTTTGCCTGGTGTGAGATGAAGCAAGGAAGGTAGTTGGAGGCCAGAAAATAAAGAACCTTATATGTTCTAGGAAGGCTTTTTACACTTTATCCTGAATACAACGATTCTAAACAGGGAAGTAACACAAGCAGATTTTGTTTTAGAAAGATGACTTTGGCAGCAGTGCTTAGATGAGGTGTTGCTAGAGATAGTAAAAAGCCTGGACTAATTGAGGAGTTTTCTGAAATAGTGTAGTGGTTTAAGGGAAAGATAGTGAGGGTTTGAGAAGCAAGGGTAGTGAGGTTGGAAAGAATTCAGTGAGTTCCAGATTGTTTTGTGCCCAGACTTAACAAGAACCCAGGACTGACAACCAGCTTGGACATGGGAGTCAGCAGTGCCGTTCTCTAAGATGAGAAACATGAGATGTGGCTAAAGGGAATGATGGAAGCTAGTGCACTAAACTTTTGACCTGCTTAGTTCCTTTTGATTCCTTTGGGCTGTCAGATTGATGTTTCAAAGGCATTTTTTTTTTTTTTTTTTTTTTTTTTTTTGCAAATGTATAGAGCCGGGAGTTTGTGCAGGAAGGTATCTACATTTGTTCTTGGTGATGTGTATAAAGTTTGTAGTTTTCCTCTACATTTTTGCAGATGTCTTTAGTTTTTAATGATGTATTATCTCACAGTAAAATGCTGTAATTTTTTATGATTAACAATTATTAATAAATCAAATGCCATATTTTCTTAGTACCATATCTTATGAGTTTAGGCTCTGACATGTGATCTGCTTAACTTTACATCAACTGAAAACTCATGTTGTTGAAAGAAAAGGAGTCTACAGAATTTAGCATTTAGGATCACTGCACTTTATTGGCTGTTTTGGGCAACTTTTGAAGGAAATGGTAATTCCAGGTTAGCCACGTGAGTCTGGATTGAACTCCTGGTTTTGTCACTTGATAGCTGCAAGGCTTTGGGCAATTTATTTAAACCCTCTGTGACTCAATGTCCTCCTTTGCAAAATGAGAATGAGACTAGAATTTACTCTATAAGGTTGTGAAGATGAATTGAGTTATATGCAAAATAAAATACCTAAACGCAGTACTGTAGAAATGTGTGCCTATGTTATAATCATGAGACACTTAGAGTATCATTTTGTGTGTGAAAGTACTCATACTTTAGTAATAGCTACTACTACTACTACTATCACTTCTGTCGCTATTGTTTTACTTTAGTTTGGATGGGACGGGAACCCCATTCTGTAGAGGTAATTTCAGGTTGTGTTTGGAAGCCCTCCCATGTAATATTGTTTGTTTGGCTCTTCAAGTAGAGGTTTTGAGCTGAAGATATTCTTAGGAAACATGTAACTCTGTCCTAGAGTCCCAGAGTCCATGGTGCCCAAGGTCAGATGGTAACAGGACCTAGTGACAGGACTAAAACCCAATCTCTGGATTCTCTCTTCTATTGTTCTTTTCATGGGTTCATGGAAGAGGGACTTTGTGGGCCTGTCCTCAGCTCAAGGAAGCTTTTAAATTAGTTTCTGGAGGCAACTAGTTGGGAAAATTTAAGAGCTAAAAATATCAGATCTCTCTGGTTTCTTGGTCTATTGTTGTCTAGTCTTTCATAGAGCATCTGATCAGAATTCGTATATATCTTCAACATGGCCAGTATTATTATTTTGACCTAACTCAGTGGAGCCCTCTAATGCATAGTCTGGCTACTTTAAACAGAATGTGCATTAGTATTTCTGATGACTGAAGGTCAGCATTAAAAATATCAGGGGGTTTTGGTTTAATGATTATGAAAACACCAAAGAGAAGGCTAGCTGGTTTAAAGTTATAAGGAGGCTTGTGTTTGTTATTTATAACTAGTGTTTACTGAACTCAGGTTGTATCCTAGGCCCTATAGATGCAGTGGTCTAGGAAAACAGCTATAGACCTTGGCCTCCTGGAATTTCAATGGTAATACCTCAAATTAATAAAATAGTTTATCTAACAAATGTACTAAAGTAATTTGAGAAAGAATTACTCAAAAAATAAATTCAGGAGGATTAAAATAGTCTTTAATACCAAAGGAGGGAGGCTATCAAGATTTTTTTTTTTTTTGTGCTTTAAAACATATTTTTGCTTAGGTCTCATCCCCTCCCACCATTGGAATTCAGTCTTAAGACCCAGCATTTAAAAGAGCCTTGTGAGCTATTCTGATGTCTAATCTTGTTTGGGAACTGCTGCACTAAAGAATTAAAAGTTAAAAATATGGAATGACATAATCTCAAGGTAGATATTTATATTTGTAACAGCAAAGGTAGATTTAATAAAGAAAAATATTAATATCATTAATTATGTAACAGTTTAAAATTTTATACAAACCATAAATACAGTTAATGAGAAAACTAGGAAAAATTGCAGTATGGTTTATTGAGTTTAACATAGAAAGAAGAAAAAATGTGAATATTTTTCTAGAAAATTATGCAACGGATGGGGGAAAATACACAAAAAATAATACATGGGAGAAATTCAAATGGCCAATAAACTTGAAAAAAATGTACTATCTCAGTACTTGTGACTGAAAGGGGAATTAGAATGGCATGCAGTTTTCTCCAATATAATTTTGCGAAGATTAAAAAGAAATGGCAGAACTCAGAGTTGGTTAGAACATGAAAAAGCAGCTTTTCACACAGAGTCTAGTGAGAATGTCAGTGTAGAAATACTGTATTTTTGTTTTGTTTTGTTTTGTTTTCTTTTTTGAGAAAGGGTTTCTCTGTATTGCTTTGGAGCCTGTCCTGGAACTAGCTCTGTAGACCAGGCTGGCCTCTGCCTCCTGAGTGCTGGGATTAAAGGTGTACAACATTACCACCCAGCTTCAATGTAGAAATACATTAAGAATGTTCCAGTAGTTAATTTCCTTTGTTTCTGTTTTATTTATTAACTTCAAAATAGATTTATGATATAATGTTCCATGAGGAGAAAAGCAGATTTCAAATGAGTAATAGTTAAAAGTCTGTCCTGTTGTGTTTTTTAGTGTTTCTCAACTTTACCATCAGCAAAATATTGATAAGATAGTACTAAGTGTTCCAACTCCTGTGCTTATCAGGATCACCTTGAATTTCTTTAAAAAATTTTCAAATTAGGGTTGGAGAGATGGCAAAACAATTAAGAGCACTGGCTTGTCTTCCAGAGGACCTGCATTTGATTCCCAACACCCACATAGTGGCTTACAATCATGAGTAACTCCAGCCTCAGGGGATCTGACACCTGTTCGCATCCGAGGGCTCTACATGCATGTGGTGAACAGATGTACATACAGGCAAAATACCCATACACATAAAATATTAAAAAACTTAAAGTCTCATTCAGGGCAAATAAATCTGATTCTCTCCAGGTGTGGTGGTCAACACCTTTAATCCCAGGATTTGAGAGGCAGACATAGGCAGATCTCTATGAGTTCAAAGGCACCCTAGTCTCTGCCCAAGTGCCTTCCAGACCAGCCAAGGCCACATAGTAAATCTGTGTCTCAAAAAAAAAAAAAAAAAAAAAAAAAGCAAAAACGAAAAAAAACCAAACTAACTCTGGGAATGGGTAGATGAATTAG